CCCCCTATAGCCTCCGTATGGGCGAAATACGCATTCAAATGCTATCACAAGTCCAGACTTGATGGGAATGCATGGCTCACTTAAAAAATGGTTCCTTTTTTCCCACACTATGAGTTCAGAAGTTGTTACTTCGCCTGACACCGTTTTAAAAAGAATTTTGAACATATAAGGATAGGTATTAAATTACTTAAATTTTTCGTAAAATAGTTGACAAGAACTCACCCACTTATTGTTTATTTTTGTTTTGCTCTCTATTTATTGTTCGATTTACAGTATGCACACGATATGCTCCACCGGTGATACTGGACGATTCAATGGGGGATACGGTAGCGTTACTCGGACAAGATGTCGATCTCACGTGTAAGGTCGATAACCTTGGAAGGCATATGGTAGGTGAACTTTTTCATCACATAGACGTGGTTTGCTTCCTTTTTACAATGGAAGACTCGCTTCTTTTAAATCTTCGTTTTCTTTCAATTTTTGATATCAAAAAAGGTTGAATTTCAGGTAGCCTTTGTCAGATCCAGTACACCACCACGACTTATATCATTTGATGAGAAAGTGGGTTTGTGGGGGACCAGAATTTTACTGTTTCTTTCATTTTTTTTGCGGTTAGGGCTCAGAGGATGAGAAGGAGACCGGTATCAACCGTTTTTCTGGGATGAGCGCAATTAGTTCAATTCCTTTTCAGATATTTCGTCAAAAAGACAAGTATGAGTTGAAGTCGAAGATGGGCCCGATGAACAACGAATGGGTTCTCACCATCAAAAACGTCCAAGTTAGTATTGCAGCTTCCATTTCTCTTTTTCTTCCCTATCTTTTGTGTTGGAATTCTTACAACAATTAGGCTTTAGCACCTGACTTCGTGAATTCTCCTAATTTTATGAAAATTTTAAAATTTCACCAACAATGCAGTGGGTGAGTTTTCCATGCAAAGGTTATTGAATTAACAAAGTAAGCGTATGGTCGGAAAGCTGCCTAGATGGGTAGCAATAAGGACTGAGAATCCTGTCGCACCGCCTACTGTGCCTCAGTACTCTGACACAAGGACGTGTTTATAAACCCCAAAGAGGCTGTCATTATTGAAAATAGAGCACATTTGTTGGAAACGCAGTCAGCTGGGATTTGACAATAGTAAACGCACATCTCGTTCAAAGACCCTTCGACCGTCAAAAACTCTTCCAATCTTTGGAATAATAAGTGCGGAAAAGGCCTCATGCTGCGGTATTTTTTTGTATTTTCTCTTATCTAATGAAAAATCGGTCGAAGTGGGTTGCCTGGGTTCGGGTGATTGTTTTACACTTCCTATATCATTCCACAAACCAGTTTCTCAGAAATGCGAAATCCTCTAGTCTACTTTAATCCACCGTTCTGTTTGGGCCTTTCTGGCCAATTCGTCGTTCTTAAATTGACATCCTGAAATTCCAGTCAACTATTTCAACGCAGCAAATGTCCATCAACGAAATTTCATTAGTGAACGTTTACTGATGTTTTACTTTCAGGAAAGCGATCGTGGCAATTATTCCTGTCAAGTGAACGCAGATCCCGTACTGACCGCCACAGCACAGTTGGATATCAAAGGTGATAATTGAGGGGTTTTCCCCACATGTGTTTGATAGAAATAGAAGGGAATTGTTGAGAAATAAAGGGAATGAACCTTTATATTTGCAGAATGGAAGGGTTCTCGATAACTTCAACTTTCTTGAATTCATGATCTGTTAATCACTGGGTGTATTTCACCATGTTAATGAGTTTCCTTATTCAGTCAATACCCGGGACTTCCCACTTAGATCGACAATTACCTGTTTTTCTGATGGGTTACTTAGCAGTTCGTTGACAGTCACTACGTGTGGCTCAATGCAGCGATTTCCATTAGCATGCAAATCGTGTCCACGTCAATAAATCAATGTCTATAGAGTGACGATGTGAAAGCAGATCGCTCTCCATGGGAGTTTTCTGATGCTATCCCAAAGAATATTAGGGACACTCTTGGGTGAAGATGCTCTGGTTTTCTCCTAGACAGCCACGGTTTTATCTCTCGCTGGAAAGATTCAGTAAATGGATCCGTTAGATCAAGCAGAACAACTTCACTTAAAATACATATTCTCCGTGGCTCCACAGCTGACTCCATTCCCTTTACTTCCTCACTCTCCCTCCTTTTTTTTGATGGTAGGCTTTCCATTGTACTTGCTGATAGTTGAACTGGTTTGGTTGGAGATAGTCGAATGCGATTCTCCTCTCCTGGTTAGGCCGTGCGTTTGTCTTCTGCGCAGAAGATGGGATAAAGAATCTATTTGGTCAAACAGAGAAGTCACGTTCAAGAGTGTCCCAGGTACAGCAGTGCCCTACAACTTAGATGGTCTAGAGTCAGTCTGTTTTCTGAAGACGGTATGGGGCCTATCCAAACTTAGACAGCTTTACCTTTTCCTGCGTGGGGCCTTTCAACTGAGGTGGTTTTCAGTGGCCTCGATTTGATTTTCGATTTTCAATCGGCAGTGACTATGATCCAGTTTTGATGTCATTTCCTTACCATCTCTCCCTATCTCTCGTTCCCTCCATCCCCCGTTGACATGATAATTGTAGGGTTGCTGTTATGAGATGCCAGAAAGTCAATGCGGGCGACTGAATAATGTTGCAACATTATTATTAACGTAATTAGTCTCTGAGAGGAGGTAGCTAAAGACCATGAGAATCCACCCACACGCCAACAGCTGAAAGGGATCTGGAACCGAAATTGTAGCAAGCTTCATTTCTGGTAGGTTATGATCACTTCGATGTACTTGCGGTTTTTGACGTGAATTAGTGGAACGGATACTTCCATTAATGACCGACATTCGCTAGCGCAGCTTGAAGAACGGGAGTAAGTATGATCCTAAGTTTATGGCCCAGTTGAAATTTGAAAACGGACCATTGCATTTTTTCTTCGAAAACCCTTCCTTATCGGATTTTCTTACTGCATTCGCTAATTAGGAGCTTCACTGGTTGAGTGAACGATAAGTTACCAATTACTCAGTCCACTGGTTAAGTTTCGGTGAATGGACTTCGTGGGCCACACGCCTGAGTTCCCTCCTACCTTCAAGACGTACAGCTGATCATTTGTTACAACTGGGGGTAGCCTACTAATATTTGCAGTTCCCTTGGCATGAAAAAATGCAAAAGTTTTTTATTGTTTGTTCAGTTAGTTGAAAAAAATTCGTTTATTTTGGTCCCATCTCCAAGCTAACCTGGTGCATAATTGCTGAACATTCCAAAATGGGAGGGGAGACTTTGCTACATCAAGCATCAGCTCCACAATTTTTCAATAGTCTGCAGATGTATGTCTTATTGCTACAACTAGAACACGAATGGGAGCCGTATCCTCAT